TGCCCTGGGCCCGAGGTCGGTGGCGCGGTCGGTACCGGGGTGCCTCGGCCCGCGCCGCTCCCGGGTCCCCTCACGGCCCCTCACGGTCCCCGCCCGCCTCCACGTCGCCGGCGCTGCCCCGCTGCGCGTGCGCGAGACCCGCGCGGGGCCGTGCGCGAGGCACCACGGGAGTTGTAGTTTGTGACGGGCGGGGCGGCCATGACACCTCCCGTGTCAGCCCTGAGCTGATCCCCAGCGTGGGCAGCAGGGCAGGGGGATCCTGCCCCTGTGCCCCTCGGCTCAGGTGAGAGCCCACCTGCAGAGCTGCCCCAGCCCTGGCTCCAGCAGCACAAGGAGCTGAGAGCTGCTGCAGCCAGTGCAGAGGAGGCCACGGAGCTGCTGCCAGGGCTGGAGCCCCTCTGCTCTGGAGCCAGCCTGGCACAGCTGGGGCTGCTCAGCTGCACCAGAGAAGCTCCAGGGACACCTCAGAGCCCCTGCCAGGGCCTGCAGGGGCTCCAGGAGAGCTGCACAGCCCCTGGGGACAAGGCAGGCAGGGACAGCACCCAGGCAATGGCTCCCACTGCCAGAGGGCAGGGACAGATTTTGGCAGATTGGGAATTAGGAATTGCTGGCTGGCAGGGTGGGCAGGCCCTGGCCCAGGGTGCCCAGAGCAGCTGTGGCTGCCCCTGGATCCCTGGCAGTGTCGAAGGCTGGGCAGGGCTTGGAGCAACCTGGGACAGTTGAAGGTGTCCCTGCCCATGGGATGAGCTTTGAGGTCCCTTCCATCCCAAACCATTCTATGATTCATTCTGATTCTCTCCTCTGCATCCCACATTTTCAGTGGGACATAAGGTAAGCCCAGTGAATGGGACCAGCAGTGAATGTCTGAGGGTGGGATGATTTACCAGGCCCCGTCCTGCCCTCATGCTGCTTTAACTCATTGTTTCTCCAAGGGTAGCCTCCAAAGTGGGGCTTGTGCCATCCGCAGCATGTTCCAAGGTACCCTTGGTTCATTAAAAGGGAAACTCTTCCCAGTGTAGTCCTGAGTTTATTCCCACATTCCACTTGGTCCGTGACAGCAGCTCTCCAGCCTGGCTGTTCCCCATCCCTGTCCCTGGGCTGTGCATGCCAGCAGCAGGTCTGCAAACAGCAGCAGGTCTGCAAACAGCACCGTGGGTGTAGCCCTGAGCAAACACTGCCACGTTACAGCTCCGGGGCTCGGCCCGTGCTCGCACAGCGCTGGGTGGCAATGGCTGCACCCACAGAGCCGCGGCCTAGCCAACAGCACGGCTGTGCAACGCTGTGTGACAAAATGCAAAGGTTTTGTACAGCAACCCCCGTGCCAAAAACAAGCATTGGGGGTTTTAAATAAACACATCTATTCGCAACGTGGCAATTTGTGTTTCACTGTCATCCCAAGGACAGGTTGGGCAGGGCTTGGAGCAACCAGGGATAGTGGAAGGTGTCCTGAGGGTGTGACAGGAAGAGATTTAAGGCCCCATCCAACCCAAACCATTCAGTGAGTCTAAAACCACAGTGAAATAAAGATGCAGCACTATTACCTAAAAGCATTTCTAATACAAAAAAATAATGGCAAACATGGCCTTCTAGAGCTTTTCAATTAAATTACTGCAACCAGGTTCACAGAAAACAGGAATAATGGCAGCCTGTTACAACCAAAATATGATTTGGTTCAGCAAGCATTGCTCTAACTGCCCAAAGATAATCCCTTCTTTCAAGTCTCAGGCAGATTAATGAAACAGTCATTTCTCACTGAAGGAGATTTTAGTTAACCTAAGTGTAAATTAAATTTCTCTTCATTTCCTTCACCTGCAGCCTCTGCAGACACTGTTCTTTCAGCAATAATGTTCTCCATTGTACAGAAATCATGAAGGAATGACCCAGAGGACTGAACCTCTGCAGCATGTCCAACAGCTCCCAGAATTCAGCTGGGACATGATTGCTCCATCTGGGCAATAACAGCATAATGTGCTACTGTCATTAGATCAGAATTTATTTTCAGTTTAGACATTCTCGGCAGCTGATCATGTGCAGTCTAACATGCCAGAATTTCCTTTCCTGTCAGGATCAGGCCATCAAAATAATAAGCAACATAAAATTAATTCATTTTATTTAAGAATTTTTGGCATATGTTTGCATTTTTAAAATGTGTTTTTCAACTTTTCTTGGCATCCAGCAATTTGTGCAAACCAACACACAGAAGGTACCATTAAGACCTTCTCATTAAGAAAAAAATACTTGAAATTAGTTGATTTGAATAATATTTTTTCAAATACTGAGTCATTGATCTTTCCTCAATAGTATTTAAATAAAGCCAGACAGGTTTAATGCTGGAGAATTTAGGACTAGATTTGCAGTTCTTTGGTCCCCTAAAGATGCCAACTCTGACATTTTCTAAAAGTCTTCAGTGTAAATGGAGCTGCTACTTGGTCTAGGGAATTCTTCTAGATGTCCACGTGCCACCATCAGGTGCCTAAACCTTTTGTAAATCTTGTTTTTAGCGAGTAACAAGCACGTGGGAATTTTCTCAGTTAAATTCAACTCACTTGATCAATATTATTCTGTCACATGAGGATTTTCTTAATATCTGCTTGCTTGTTTTCCTTAAAGAAGGCTTTGTGCACTCCTTTGCGTCCCTGCAGATGATCTCATGCACTCCAGCCCAGACCTGGGTCTTTGCTTTCACTCGATTTTCATTTAACTATTCACAACACAACAGGATTGTTGACCTATTCTTGCAAAAGAATAGGGGCAGAAGAGTTATAACACAAATCTCCCGACAGGAATTCCAGTGAAGTGCCTCACACAGAAAGTTTTGGGATGTAGATTGCTCCCTTTAGGGTTTAACTGCAGCTCATAAAAGCAGTGGAACACCATTCCAGAGACCATAAGCGTGTAATCTTACTTGCATTATCTGCCTGTTTTCGTTTTTGCAGTGTTTTTTCAGAAGGCCTGGTGCTTAAATATGGTGCTGGCACACAGCTGGAAGCCTGGTGCTGCAGCCTAATTTACTATACACTTTATTTTCTCTTATATTGTTCAATGCATTTTCTTCTGAAATAATATCATAAATAACTAAAAAAAAATTTATGCAGACTTCATAAATTGTCTGAATACAATTGAATTGAATACATTTACAAATTAAAGGAGCCCCAGTAAAGCTCTTGCTCTACTTTTTGTTGTGTTCCCAGCTGTTTAGAGGTGGATATACTCTAAAACTACGGCCAGTATATAAAAACAGAATGGAAGAGACAATCTCTTCAGCAACGCTCAGGTTGTCAGAACACAAATTCTGGTTTAGCTGAAGAGCTGCAGATTGGACTGGGCATGACTGAGGCAGCTCCAGCGCTGGGGACAGCTCTGGGCCCTCAGCACAAGAGAGACACCGAGGGGCTGGAGCGTGTCCAGGGCAGGGAACGGAGCTGGGAAGGGGCTGGAGCCCCAGGAGAGGCTGAGGGAGCTGGGAAGGGGCTGAGCCTGGAGCAAAGGAGGCTCAGGGGGGCCCTTGTGGCTCTGCACAGCTCCTGACAGGAGGGCACAGCCGGGGGGAACAGGGACAGGAGCAGAGGGAACGGCCTCAGGCTGGGCATGGGGAGACTCAGGGGGAATGCCAGGAAGAATTTCTCCATGGAAAGGGAGGTCAGGAATTAGAAGGGGCTGCCCAAGGAAGCGTTGGAGTTCCCATCCTGGAGGTGTCCACGTGTAACACTCAGTGCTCTGGGCTGGTGACAAGGTGGGGATTGGTCACAGGTTGGACTCGCTGGTCTTTTCCAACCTAAATGATCCTGGGATTCAGTGATCTTGGAGGAAGCTGCAATACTCTGATCCAATGGGGGGTTATGCTCCAAAGATGAGCTAAGAGCTGATTAAACAGCAATTCCAAACTCAGGTCCGAGTTTGGACCTAAGCATTAATCAAGGCCTGACACGGAGGTGTCTGTGCCTGAGCTCACTGCAAAGTCATGGCTGTGGCTGCAGGGGCACAGCATCTGTGAACACAGCAGAGCCATGCACACCAGGTCTGACCAAACCAGGCACTGGCAGGAAACGAGGCACTTCACCAAGGACACCAGGCAAAATTAGGTATCAGAGTAATTAATTAACTGCTGAGAGAAATCACGGCCACAAGAATAACACTGGACCACAGTGACAGGTCAGGGACTGCCCGTATAAAAAGTGCATTTTTGGGCCTGCCTGAGAGAGGATTTTATGGAAATTAAATCATAAAGAATAATTCAAAACTGCTGGAATGGTTTAGTTTTGAATCTTTTAAAGAGCTCTCTGGTCTGGCAGACAGGGAAAAGCAGGAATTACCACTTTTATTCCTTACCAAGCAAAGGGACACTTAAAATGCTTCACGGCTGAGATGCAGCTCAGCAGCAGAATCCATCTTGCCAGGAAGAGGCAAAGTCTGCCCAGCTCATTTTATCATGAACTCAGTTGTTTTAGGGCCTCCTTCTGCCTGTCTCCAGGTTTTCAAAGATTTTGTCACCACTTGAAGTGTTTATAGCTCTGAACACTAAGAATTCTGTGATTCTGTGCAATAATTGCATGAAGCGACTTATTTTTAAGTAAAATCCCAGTTTATTATAATGAAAATTCCACAAGCATGGTAAAGAGGTTTTAACTGGATGTTGAGATTTTTTAAAGCCAGAACTTCGCCATTATAAATCACTACAACAGAACATAAAGCAACATTCTCTTGCATCATGCCTCAGGGAAAAAAAAGGCATAATATTTCAAGGAAAAAAATTAAGGAAAGTATCACATCAAGACTTTCTGCTTTTAGTAAGCCAAGTAAATTTTCTATGCAGCATAACTCCTCTAGCTCATCCATAGATTTGACATGAAAAATCTAAATTCTCCATAGATAAATTATGAGCTTTTGTTGTCACAATGCAGTCCACAGTTCTTCACCAGGAACAGATAGAGCCTTTAAGGTGAAAGCCTCAAGTACTGCACTAGCACTTAGTGACATCAAGATGCTAAGATACATTTGCCTTCCACAGACAGATTTATTCTTACGTTATTTAACCTAAACTCTAATCACACCAAACAGATGGCAGATGAAAAGTAGTTCCAGCAAGAAAAATACAAGAACATCAGATTTCAAATATTTTAAATAAACAAACAGCTGCCATTTTAGTGGCAAAAGAGACTCTCCTGCAAGCAATTAAGTTTTTTATTCAGCTAAAATGTGCAAAGAAAAAAAGTCTCAAATTGAGAGGAATATCAGCAGTTCATACTGGACATGAGGGAATAAAATCCTCAGGAATTAACTCCTTCAAGCTGTTTTCTTGTCATACACTGCAGCAGATCCCTTTGCAGGACTTCCATTTACAATGCCATTGCTTTCCAACTGCAAACAAAATACAGCGTCATCAATGAGATGTCAAATTAGAACTTCACATCTAAAACAGGAACAGCTGGTGACAAAAATGGCTTTTAGAAGCAAGGCCAGCAAAGATGTGTGGAGAAATATTGAGCAAGAACGAGAAGTGGTGGTGTCTGTGTAGATTTACAAATAATTATTGTTTCAGGGGAAAGGGAGGAATGAGAGCAGCGACAATATTTACAAGTCTTTGTATTGTGACAGAAGATAAATAATAAAAGCATGATTTATATGCACTAAGCATCCTCCCCCATTACAAGTGGCAGAGCTGGCTGAAGAAAGGGGCTGTTTTTAATTTCTGCTTGTGACTTGCCAGATATTTGACTTTTGTCTTTGAAAGAACAGGCAGCTGTTAAAAAAAATAAATTAATTAAGCTGTTTCAGGATACAGGTACAATTCCTCTTCCTCCAAGACCAGAAGAAGCAACTATTATACCAACTAGATCTTGAAGCAGCAATTCCTAGCTGGCACAGTAGTGGTAATTGCTGTTCCCAAGAAAATAGCCACCAAAATATCTGAGAACACACCCAGCTGTTCACCCTCCTGAGCTACCACTGGGTGGCTCATCCCGGAGCTTCCCCGCTTAGCTGGGTGAATTAATCTTACTTTATGGCCCCCAGGTCCATCCTCCTGGTCTCTCTTGGCAGCTGCAGGTCCCCGGGGGTCCCCAGTGCTGCCTCCTGGCCCCTGCTTGGTGCCTGGTGGCTCCTGCACTGCTTTCTTGGGCCAGACATGCTTGATGAAGGGGGCGACCATGGGGTAGATGTAGGGCTCCAGAAACTTCTTGTAGACCCAGAGCAGAACAGGGATCACGATGCAGGGAATGCACACCATGGCTCCCTCCTGTGCTGGGACAGAGATGGTGAGGGGGGAGAAAAACAGCTTAGGGGGGAGCGTTTGTATGCCACAACCTGAGAAAACACTATTTACAAAGTAAATAAAATCCATATTTCAGATTCAAACGTAGATTATTCTGAAATTATTAAGCAGCTGCTAAAGCTTCAAAAATGTTGTGTGTTCCACTGTTATAAAGCTTCCAACAAAGGGAACATTCTTGCCATTTTAACAAAAAAACCAAACCATTTTGCTATTAATTCATTAGTCCTACAGATGCAACTAAGGAAAACAAATTCAGGAAATAAGAGTTTTTGCTTAAGCCACACAAAAAACAGTTTAAGCAGCAAGCTGCCAGTATTAGCCCAGTTCCCACTATATTATGAGTCCAAAGGGTTTGTTTTGCTCAACTCACTTTTGTTTAAGGAGAAACTAAACAGCAGAAAGCAAATCCATCCAATGAGTTGCTACCACTGAAGGGCAGGACAGTGGAAAAGGAGAAAAAATTCCAATCAGGATTTGAGAGAATTAGCAAATAGGTTACTTTCTTCCTGCTGCCCTCACTTGATCCCACACCAGCCCCATACAATTAACTGGAAAATGAACCATGACCTCTCTCTGAAACCCCACAAGTCATCAAAATTCACACCTTGGGGTCTATGCCAAAAAAAAAGCAGAAAAGCAAAGCAAGGATGCAGAGAGGTCCAGCTGGGAGAGGAAGCAGTTAATTAGGGCTGGACCTGTCCCTGCCAGTGCTGACAGCAATACATTAGACACACTCTGCTGCCACACAACTTTGCCCTTCACAGTCCCCCTCTCTAGGCTGCTGACATCTCAATTCTCACATCAAGAAGCAAAACAAAAGCTTTCCAAGATTGAGAATGAAAAGGCAGATGTGCACACCTCACTAGTGACCAGTTTTGCTTTTTATTTTATGTTATCCTGAGGATTTTTATCCCTGTGGAAAAGCAGAGTATCAATTTCCAGTTGACTGCTTCCAGGTTCTGCTCTGGCTGCTTCAAATACACTTTAAATCTACTCTTTGGGTTTCAGAGGAATCTTATACTGAGACAACACAAATGAGGTAACTCTTTAAATCTATTAAAAAAATATATTTCAGATACTGTCTCCACCAGAACTTCCTAAGTATTAAATTTGCAGCAAGATGTGGATTCATCCAGCGGCTGAAGAACGTGGCTGTAGAATCATTACAGAATTATAGAATTATTTGGGTCACAGGAGAGCTTCAAAATAATTTCCTTCTATTCCCAGCCGTGGGCAGCGACAGCTCCCACTGTCCCAGGCTGCTCCCAGCCCCATCCAGCCTGGCCTGGGGCACTGCCAGGGATCCAGGGGCAGCCACAGCTGCTCTGGGCACCCTGGGCCAGGGCCTGCCCACCCTGCCAGCCAGCAATTCCTAATTCCCAATCTGCCAAAATCTGTCCCTGCCCTCTGGCAGTGGGAGCCATTGCCTGGGTGCTGTCCCAGGGAAACACAGCCTGTGTTGTGCTGCCTCTGCAGCCACTTCGCGTCCAAAAAATTCCTGCCCAAAAAATCATCCCTACCTCTGCCTGATGCACCAGCGATCCCTGGGATCAGCGTGGAACACCGTCCTGACGAATTCCTCCGGTGTCCTGGCAAAGCTCGGCCAGCTGTTTAGCAAGGACAATAAACGAAAAGGAGAAAAGCGGAGTGAGGGGGTGGCCGGTAGGTGATGTCCTGCGGCGGGTGGTGCCGCTGCCCTCGGTGAGCCCCGGCACGGAACGCGCTCACTGACGGGCAAACCTCGGCACGGCTTTGTTCCCAGCGCCCGAAAAACGCCACAGCGGCAAACCCGCCGGGTTCTCCCCGTTTTCCAAGAAGGATGAGGAGCCCGGGAGGCGGCCTGATGTCAGGCGTTGCCGTTCCGCTCTCCGGGGGCGGTTGGGGCCGGTGCAGCCCGTGAGCCCCCGGCTAGCGGCGAGGCCAGGCGGCCGTGGGCCGGGCGGGGCGGGGGGCAGGCAGGGTGAGGCGGGGTGTGGGGAAGGGACCATTCCCTGCTCCCGGGGCTCCCGGCGCTCCGCACCCACCTGCGCCCGCACCGGAACGGCCCCGCGCTTCCGGGGCGGTGCTTCCGGCCAATGGCCGGCGGCAGAGCGCGTCACGTGACGAGCCAGGCCCCGCCCCACCCGCGCGGACGCGATTCCCGATTATCCCGGATTGGGGACGGGGGGGAAATGTGGGATGGCCCGGGAGTCGGCGGGAACACGCGGCCCGGCTTGGAGGGCCGATATTGGCTGGGAATTGCTGGCTGGGAGGGTGCGCAGGCCCTGGCCCAGGGTGCCCAGAGCACCTTGGTGGATCCCTGGCAGTGTCCAGGCCAGGCTGGATGGGGCTGGGAGCAGCCTGGGACAGTGGAAGGTGTCCCTGCCATGGCAGGGGGTGGCACTGGATGGGCTTTAAGGTCCCTTCCCAGCCAAACCACTCCATGATTCTGTGACATTCACTGTCCCTGACCCACAGCAATGCCCAACGCGAGGTCAGAACTTGCAGCAGAGCAACACAATCAATCCACATTTTAAAAGGTTTTATTTATATACATCTGTCCAAGCAGATTTACTCCCGAGCCATTAGCTTTTGCTTCTTCAGCTTCTTCTGGGAGATCTGGGAAGCAAACACACAAAAAAGAACAGTGAAACGAGACTTCCCAAAACATCTCAAAGTTATCTTTTAGAACTGCTGCGAACTATTAGGAATTGTTAATTAGGAATTCACTGTTAATTAGGAATTCCCTCACAAATGATACATTCATCACACCTGCACATTAACAGGAATCCCTACAAGCACTACGTTATTTGCAGGCTCTAAATTCAACTTATTTTCTTGTACACACCCAGGGTTCACACACACAATGCTGTAGCTGCTTTGAGGGAGGAAAGAACCAACCCTCTGTGCAATTAAAAAATGATTCTCAGGGCATTTAAGTGCTTAATACTTAGGTTGGAAATTAAAAAAATGGGGTTGCTCAGAAAAAACTGATTTTTTTCATGGGCATTCCAAAGGTGTCCTAAGATTGTCATCACCGCAACCCCTCTCTGCCAGCCCCTCGGCTGTCCTGACAGCATCACAGGAACAGAGCACACAACACAGGGCACACAACACCTGGTACCTTTTTCTTTTGGGCAACTTCCTCCTCTGGCTTGGGCACGATCTGCTCCTTCTCCGTGAGGATCATCTCGATGTGGCACGGGGAGCTCATGTAGGGGTTGATCCTGCCGTGGGCCCGGTACGTGCGCCGGCGCATCTTGGGAGCCTTGTTCACCTGGATGTGCTCGATCACCAGGGAGTCCACATCCAGACCCTGGCACGGAAGGAAATCTGTGAGCCACCTTCATCTTTAAATAATTCATTTCTGCAGCAAAAATGTGAGGAATCACCCCAGACACTGCTGCTGGTGAATGAAACACCCAGGCCTAGTGGTTCCATGGAGCTCAGGTTTTCCAAGGATTCACCACCCACCCTACAGGCAGGCCTGGTGGTGCCATGGAGCTCAGGGTTTTCCAAGGATCTGACAATGGAACTGCTGTTCTTGGCAGTGTGATGAAGATGAGGACTTACCAAAACAAGGATGATTTAAAATGACGAAGTCCAGCCCACACATCACAAATAATTTAAAATTGTGCTGATGGCTCCTTGTCTATGGTTACTTCATGGCTATTCAAAGGTGTAACCTATTACTCCAACACTGCCAACAAAGCTACCAGACTGTAACAAAGACAGCAACTGACCATATCAGTTATTGATTTTACAGATTTCACAGATTTTTAGATATCTGAACAGCCCTTTTGTTTGAAATTTTTAAATTTAGTATTTCCCTGTAAAAAACTGCTGCTGCCATTTAACTTGAGGAACACACACAGCCTGCTTTAAACAGGGAGCCACACCAAACCCTCCCTACAATTCAGTGTTGTGGATGAAGCAGGTGGGAAAAGGCTCTGCAGGTCAGTGATACCCAGGCCAGGGATGCTGAGAGGGAGCCTGACACCACTGCTTTGTGCTAACACCCACCTTGAGCTCAGCATTGCTCTCTGCATTCTTCAGCATGTGCAGCAAGAACTCTGCGCTCTTCTTGGGCCAGCGGCCCTGCGTCCAGCCCCACTGCTTGGCCTGGAATGAGAGCAAACAATGGGAGTCTGCTTCTGGCCTGGTCCATTCCTGTTACCTTCTACGCACCTTCACCTTGCCATTACCACAGAAGGGTTTGGGCTGGAGGGAATGGCAAAGTTCATTCAGTGTCACACCGTGCCATGGGCAGGGACAGCTCCCACTGTCCCAGGCTGCTCCAAGCCCCATCCAGCCTGGCCTGGGGCACTGCCAGGGATCCAGGGGCAGCCACAGCTGCTCTGGGCACCCTGGGCCAGGGCCTGCCCACCCTCCCAGCCAGCAATTCCTAATTCCCAATCTGCCAAAATCTGTGCCTGCCCTCTGGCAGTGGGAGCCATTGCCTGGCTGCTGTCCCTGCCTGCCTTGTCCCCAGGGGCTGTGCAGCTCTCCTGGAGCCCCTGCAGGCCCTGGCAGGGGCTCTGAGGTGTCCCTGGAGCTTCTCTGGTGCAGCTGAGCAGCCCCAGCTGTGCCAGGCTGGCTCTGTGGCCACCTCTGCACTGGCTCCAGCAGGTCCCTATCCTTCCTGTGCTGAGGACCCCGTATCTTATGGATATAGATAGATATGAGTATGGATTAGAATGGATTATTATCTACTTATTTTGCTGTACAACCAATCCCACAAAATTTAATCCCTTGACTTAATGCTGCCAACTAGATGCAGACACTCCATGGAAAGGTATCCTCTGGAATTAACAGCCTTTTCTCCCTCTTGAGCACCCTGGTCTGGTGGAAGATGTCCTTGCCCCTGGCAGGGAACTGGACTGAGATGAGCTCTGTGGGCCCTTCCAACCCAACCACCCTGTGATTCTGTGTTTTAGTGCAAGTTTACCACCAGCAATGACAGACTACACTCCCACCCTCTCCCCATCCCCTTCTGTGTTAAGCACCCCGAGGCAAAGGGACTGCCAGGAGCTCACCTGAGCGCACCTGCCGACGCCGCCGTTGTAGCGCCGGAAGGGGACACACTGCTTCTTCAGGGTGACATCCTTCAGGTACTTGGTGGCCTTGCGGATGTGCATGCCCTTGATGGCCTGCGCCGTCTCTCGGGTGTTCTGCCAACACAGGGCACAGAAAAAACCTCTCAACAAATCCTTACAGGAGACAGCACCCGCTCAACCACCCCTCTGCCCCCCTGGATACAACTCCTTCCACTCACTAAAGAATACCCAACTCTCAGAATGAAAAATAAATAACACTTTTTTTATTTGTTACCACTTTTCTAACTCTTGGTATGACTGCCACTACTAAATTTTTGTCTCCAGCACACCTATTTATTTATTTATTTTTAAACTCAGCGGCTAAATCCAACACGGAAATATATAACTCTTAATAAAAGTACAATTAATGTACTTATACTATTCATAGCTCCTCCTGTTTGGCCACTAATCTAAAAAGGCAAGATTCGGATGGATAAATTCTTACTAAAATGTCAAATACAGCACCTCACAAGAACTGATGAAGAAACACTGGGAGAATTGTTAACAATGTTGCTTTCTCTAAAAGAATTGTAAAAGAAGAAAAGGCTCAGAAATAAAAATTAAGGATAAAAGATCGGCCTTTTAGACAGTATTTACTAATTGTGTAAGCCAGCTCTAAGTATAATCCTACCTGTTCATAATAAAAAAATTAAAAAAAGAAAACCAAAGTGAAAACTTGGTATTACACTAAGCAGAAAGTGATCTGCTAAGTTCTGGTTTCATGATTAAATAACACTTCTGAGTTGTTCTCTGCACCTAAGCCTTTTCCAGAGGTACTGAGTTCCTAGTCTAAAACAGCACACAACCAAAGAGTGTAGGAGAAATTAGACAAATTTCACACCAAACACTAGCCCAGTGTCTGATAAATTTACTCCAACTGTTTTGCTGCTGTATTTTGTTATCTGAATTAGACAAGGACAATTTTGAGATCCAGACTTTAATTTTTGTGGAGACCATTACAAGTAGCTGACAGCAGTTCCTTAGTGAATAAAGAGTAAAAGACACTTCCTTAAAAAGAGGAATATTGGGAAGAAATTCCTGGCTGTGAGGACAAGGAGGCCCTGGCAACAAGATGCCCGCAGAAGCTGTGGCTGCCCTTGGATCCCTGGAAGTTTCCAGGGCCACGCTGGACGGGAGCTCAGTCCCTAACCACGGCAGAGGGTGGAAAGAGATTATCCTTACAATCCCTTCCAATCCAAGCCAGTCTGGGTTTCTTCTAAAAAATAACAAGGAAAACTAACAAAAACCACGTAGAACAGAAAATGAATTTACGATTCCTGCTCATCACACACTCCCTTACCTTGAAATGCACACGCAGGTTAGATCCCCGGGACTTGCATGCTGCAAGAGAGAAAAAACACCAAGTTTTAGAATCAAAACCTCACTGGCTTCCAGGAAATCCCACATGAACTCTCCTAAAAGAGCGACTCACATTTCGTGGGGTTCTCCGGATCCAGGGAGTAGCGAACCATCTTGAGAGCTCAGCTGAAAAACACCAATTAAAATATATTAAACTTCTAACACTGGCACGCAGGGCCCGGACTACTCCCCTTACCGCTGCAGCTGCTCAGAATTTACGCATTCTTTTCACAGTTACATCCAAAGGTGTCCTAAGAAAGTCATCATCGCAGCCATGGATTTTCTCAGGCCTGCCACTTCCCCGCATCCGCGCCCGTCCTCCCACGTTCCATCCCGGGAAATACCGCGGGTGCGGGGCATATCGTAGCGATCCCGGTGTCCGGGACGCCTGTGGCGGCGGGGATGGGGCGGGATGGGGGCGGATGGCGGCGGCTGGCGCGGAACCGGGCCGACCATGGCTGCTCACCTCGGGGCGGCGGCCGCAGAGGAAGAGGAAAGGCGGGGCGC